CGCATTTAAGCACTCACAGCTTGCCGGTTCGTGACTGTGTGGATTTGGCCAAGTGGCTAATTGTTCCACGGCGATGTCCACACAGCATCCTCGAGCACCATGAGCAACGTGCCAGCAAATATGCGCATATTCATGCTAATAAATGTATTTAGTTCTCTATTCCCATTACGTATGGCCGAGCTGCCCAGCAAAATTAATCGTCAGGGAGGCCTGTCAGATGAAATTATGGCTAAATCAATTTAATAGACATCGATAAATATGCCAAGAGCAAATCGTTTTATCTAATGGACATTCAACCAACTAAGCTCTATTATAAACATATTAAGAATTTAATTATCTTTTTCTTTGCTTATACCAAAAAAGCTAAATGTATAGAGTACATATCGATTATTTATTTTGGTTGTCTTTGAAATGACAAGTTTTTTTTCTGCAAATTTACATATCTATTTTTAACTCAATTAGTTTATGTACAATAAAGCACAAATATGCGTGCTGTATTCTATTCTAACATAAATATAAATATATTTCCAGCTTCGACATATATAGCCTTTGCATTTAGTCACGTTAAACAACTCAACAACTCAAAGAGCCATTCAATTTGGCAATCGAAACAGAAGAGGCCAATAGTTATTGTGACTCCCTCCTTTGGCCTGGTCAATGAAGCAGGTGGGAGGCTCGCGTCTAGCTCTGGCAATCGAAAAAGATGAAGTGGATTTTTCCTTTTCTACCAATTGTTAGCAGCACCTTGCTGAAGTCATCGTGTTTTGTGGCCGACTAAAAGCCAACTGGCATCTGGAAATCGGTTGACGGTTATTCGTTGAGGCCATGCTCATCGCGTTTTTGGTTTGGGTTATGGTTATGTCAATCATTATGTTGATGGTAACGGTTATGAGGCACTCGATTACCGTCGGGATGAGTTGCCATATTATGCCCATTTGGAGTAATGGAAATTCTAACGGCTTGCGGCCACGCCAACTATTGGTACTCCTTAACCTCAGAAGACCGCACAGATGCATTGATGTAAATGCGACTCATGGATTGTATTTTTTTTCTTGTCTGTTTTCTGTTTTGGTGGGCACACGGCCATCTAATGGGTTTTATACGTGAGCTGCTCGCTATGAGACAGCTGTGACATCGCCCCCTTTTTTTTGGCCACAAGACATGAGATGGAAGTGTGACAGTTGTGCAACATGGGCTATGGCATACAGGATATGAGGAATGCGAAAAATTGGCAGGTTTTAAATTAATAGCACCCTTCAACATGTCGAAGGGCTCACGATTAAATAGACGAGACGAAATATCGGCAGCATAGCCATATAAATACCTGTCTCTCTCCCTCCCTCTCTCACTCTCTGCCCACCTCTCTGTCTATCCCTTCGTCTATCTGTCTGTCCGTCTGTCTGTCCGTCCAGTTGACACTGACGCTGACTCGTTGACTGACAGAAAACGCAAGCAACTGTCAGAGTTTGCAAATTCATTCCAGATGTAAACATTCCCATAGGAAGCCATTTCACACAAGTTCCATGTCTGTTTGCTCAAAATTGCAGCAACTGGTACTGACGTCCACATGCTGGCGTAGCCGTAGGTGGTGACGGTGGGTGGGTGTGTGTGAGAGTGTGTGTGTGTGGGTGTGTGTAAAGGTGTGTAAGTGGAGCTCGATTCTCGCGTGCTATAGTTGCCCTCTACAGCCGTCAATAGCAGCAGTGGCAGCAGCAGTGGCAGCAGCAGCAGGAGCAGGAGCAGCCCAACTTTTGACTTTCTCGTTCAAATAACCAAATATGCAAAATCACTTGAGGAGCAAGTGAGGCACTTTGGCCAATAGCAAAGTCGAGAAGTGTATACCTTTTCAGAAAGTGAAAATGTAATTTCTGAAAACTACACTCCCAATATAGCATATATTGGCAAAATCTGCATAGCGGCAGTGTTGACCGAGGCTCAACGCACTCTTGAAGTAATGCAAACAATTCGAATATCAAATACTCAATGCTCAACCTGTAGTATGCAATTATGCAAAAACCCAACGATTCACCGATAACAGTAATTGCATTCTTGTTTTTGTTTCTCAAAAGGAAATTGTCTGTCACATTCCTCAGTCGGGGCCAAATGGCTGCAGGCAGGAAAAAGAAGGAAACGATCTGAAAACTAAAACTGAATTATAGGTATGCGCCCTGTAGCCCAATGTTCCTTAACAGTTGCCTCTGCTGATGGCCGTTCACGTTATTTTCATTGATTATGTCAGGAAAATAAGTTTACTCTGGAACATTATTGGTCCCATTCACAGCAACAAAAAGTCAACTTGTCAAAATGTTCGAAAGCACTTAAAACTTTTACGCACTTTGTTGCTGTTGATGTTGTTGTTGTTGTTGCTGCTGCTGCTGCTGTTTTCTTGTTTGTAGTTGTTACATTATGGCATTTTTCCACTAAATCTACATTCACCTCGACAATGGGACAGACGGCAGTAGTCTATCCGCCAGCAAAGGGCAACAATACCCAGCCTCGCGCCGAGATCTGTCTTTGTGCCACTCGGTGTGCCAATTTCGCACTTTCCTTTTTCCAGCAACAAAAAAATAAAATAAAAAGAAAACAGGAAAAGTGGAGAGGACTATTTTTTTGTAAAGCGCTTCTTTCATTGTGGCAAATGGGGGGCAGTTAGAGCCTGAAGCACTTGTGCCACAGCCAACTTCACTGGCAGCTGGCCATGTCTATGGCCCGGCCCGGACTAGATCTTCAACAAGGCAATTGAATAGCACTTTCCAATAAGTACGCAGCCACACTACAGACAAGACCCCAGCAGCAGTGGCAGCAGCAGCAATGGCACCAGAACCAAAGTTGCCCGGGAAGCTAGCTGGTTTGTTCGTACATTACGATATTGGCTAAATTGTCACAACATTTGATTTTCGGTCTGTCAACTTTGTTGCAAAGCGCCCGAAAGTTGTGCACTGATAATCTTTGTTTACCATCCGACTGAAGTGTGGTTTGGACCTGGACTTAGTCACAGTCAATTAGTCAGATATGCAAATTGTAGTGGCATTGATTTGAATTTATCGGAGAGTCAAACTTTTCGCATTACACAGCTCGTGAATATGCATCGTATGGCCAGTGAGATATGGTGGATAATTAAGTTGGGCAAGCGGGAAGTTAAATGCGCGTTTGTTTACAACAGCTTTCAAGGATGTATGTTAATGAGCAGTCGAATCTAGAGGTAATCATAGATTTATAATTATTTGAAAACTGGCTGGAGTGTGTTCAATAATTTAAGAACGTGGGGCAAACCTGTATTTAGCCCTGCGTTGATTAATTATTAATGTTAAGCTGAACACTGCGCGCTGCCGCTTTAGAGAACCTTTGGCCGAGATTTGCTTTTAAATTGAATGAAATCAGAGTCGAGCGGCTGCAAATGATGTGAGTACAGAAAAAAAAAAACTTTGCATACTCGCATTCCGCAATGATTTTACCAAATAGATCCTGTATGCCTAATGCTGGCAGCATCCTGACCCAGTTCATGGCATGGAAGTCCGATAATTTATGCCAAACATTTTTTGATGCCGCGTCGCTCAGACGAGCGTAACCCTTGTTTGAGGTTGAGTAATAAAATGAAATATTTATGGGTTAACATTAAGGGATTTGGTTTTTGCTTTCACACAAATGCCTATGCCCATGCATACTATAAATACGTATATGTATATGTATATACAATGGACGCGGATACGGGGCTATATCATGCAGCACGTAACACTTTGACCTGGCTCGATCCCGGCCTTGTTGCGGCCGAAGTGCGGTTAACATTGACCACACGGGCTTATTTATTGCATTCGAGGCGTTAACACGAAAGCATTTTGCGGAAATGGAAACTAAATAGTCGTGGTTAAATTATTAAATGCCCAATCGCACCGTCTCAGCGTCAAAGGCGGCGGCCATCGTTTTTCTTTACGATGCAAAGTGTTGCCTATAAAAATTTACTGCCTGCCACACACACACACTTTCTCGTTCAGTGTGGGTGTAGTCATGTTTGTTTGCCCAAATGAAAGCAAACATATAATTCCTGTATATTCCAGCCCGAGCTGCCCAATGGATGTGTAAACATAGCAGCACTCTTGGTATACACGGGGATCCATAGAGTCAGAGCCCCAACACGCGCTGGCTTGATAGTTGGTAAAACTGTTTGGCGATACTTTAAATATTTTATGAGTGCTACCACAGCCAAATTGGCAGAGGGCGGAGAGTGGTGCCGAGATTATGATGTAACGATTTATGGCTAGCTCATTCGGATGAGCACAAATGCAAACATTCGGCTGTCCCAGAGCTGAAATCTAAAATTTATGTATCTATATACTCGCAGCTTCGGTATCAATAACCAAGTTTAAGAATTGAATTGCGGCATTTGTTGGAGCTCTAGAATATTAACTGAAAATAACTATGAGATATACAAATATTAAATCTTTAATATGCTTTCGATTTATAAGCTTACAAAAATGTCTTTAGTTTTTTGTTGTTCAATTTTATTACAATTCAATTGATAGATCACATGCGACAAATTGACTTCATACAGCTCTTATGCACACATATATGAGTTTTTACTTCCTTAGCAAAACTGAAATTTCATTTTGTGCTTAGTCAGCACATCTAACCCAATTATAAGAACATTTGCTTGTCACCAGTCGACGCAAACCGGAAGGCCAAATGTGATAGAAAAAGCACAAAATCGAATTTGTAAAGATTCAATTTAGTGACATTTGCATGCTCTAAGCATAGTTATAATATGTTATATGTGTGGATAGAAAAACCTACTAAAAATATTAGTTTGCTCGAAAAAGATGACTGCGTGAATCTACCCACTGAACAGAGCCGTCATTCATGGCCTGATCAAAATTCGCATTTTATTTGTCAGCCACTTGAGCGCTAGACACAAAGTGTCTAAAGCAAATCACACATTGATCATAAGCTAACAAAGACCCGAACAAAAACTGACTGCCCGGGGGTATAAAACTGAACGGCTACACGCGGCGGCCGGTTAGTTATAACGCGGACGCTGTCAAAATCAAAATGCTGAGAACAATTCCGATTTGGGCGCTGCTCTTGTGTAGCGTGGTCATCGTGGCGGAGGCTAAGCCGATTTTCGTAAAAGTTTTTGCTCCGATTGGTGGTAAATTTGTGTGAAGGAATGCTATGAGAGAGGGAGAGGAGAAATGGTTAATACAATATTATTTGTAGGCTTTTCCAGTGGTACGGTTCGTTCGACGGCAACGGTGGCGCCCGTCAACAACCAGCTGATCTCCAATTTGATTTCGCAGAAGATACAATTGCTGAATAGTTTCCTTCAGGCGAAGTCATCCTTTGGTGGCTTTGGCATCCGGAAGGAGATCTCATTTACATCAGGCTCTACAACGACCACAGAGAGGCCAGTGACCACGTCCACATCAGAGGTAAACACAGATTTTATACCGGAAGTTAGTTCCAGCACTCAATCTGTGTACACCACAACAACAGACGGCGACCTTGAAACGCCGAAGCCTACAGTACATCCCGTCAAGCCAATTACAACGTCAACGCCAGTGACGCCCACGAAGAGCACCACCGAGTACCTCGTGGAGTCTTCGACGGGATCTACCGATGGCTACACCTATCGGACGACCCCACGCCCCACGGCACCCACGCCGACATCCACTAGCCCTGGCTACACCTATCAGACCCCCACGCCCAGCACCATCTCTAGCACTGTTGATTCCTATTACTTGCCCGCCTCTCGATACTAAGTGTATTGATATCTACTCAAATGTACATACTCGCATGTGTGTAGGTAAATAAGGTATCTAAGTTAAGCACGTCTATCAACTGTCTATCTATTAATTGATAATCAATTCTGATAGTTTTATTAGAATATATTTCGAAATCTTTGTGAACAGAATCATGTTTTGCTCAGTGCGGAAGTGTTCAGACTTTACAGACTTCACACTGCTCCTATTGACTATTGACAATGGGTGGATCTGTGGTTGGATCAATTAGCATAAAAACCAGTTTTACTGAGAAGACGACAGCCGCACTAGAAAAAAAAAAAAAAAAAAAAAAAAAAATACTATGAAAAACACAAACAATTCGAACCTTTACTTTGGGCATGTTGATTGATTCTTTTGTCAGAATAAAAGTTGAAGTTGTTATTTGAGCAGAGCTCGAAATACAAAATATATATGAGTACATATTCTAGTCTACAACTCATAGAGCATCAACTTCAAGGTTATGAAACAGGCGGGGCCATTCTCATTTAGATACACCAGTATCAAGTATATATGTATATTTAAAAATCTTTTTATTTGTGTTAATTTAATGCCGAACATGGAAATGTTTTTTCTTGCTAAGCATTATTAAGAAGCGACTTTAAAATCTTCATCTGTTTCCAAGATACTTGGAAAAAACTTGTTTTTTTTTTTTCTTTTTTTCCATTTGTTGCGTTGCAGACAGCAAATTAATAGAAATCTTACAAGGAACATTAAATTAAATTAGATTTTTCTTGGTTCAGCAGACACTTCAATTTCTATATATATATATTTATTTATTCGAGTATGTGTGTGATTGTAGAGTCTGACCCGAACACAGTTACTCTTTGGATTTCTCTTTAAATCAAATATAATAGTTCATCGTTATTGCCCCAAGCACATAAGCATTAATATGTTATTAGTTTCTCGAGCAGCTGGCATTTAGCTGCTGATATCTCTGCTCAAACACCTCGGGTTAGTGGGCCCATAAATTTTTATAGCAGTACAATCAACTTAACAGAAATATGAAAGCCATTAGATGAGACACAATGTTGTCTACGGCTGCTTGTCGGACAGGACACGTGCCGAGTAATTGAGACGGCACTCAAGTTCATCGCCATACAAGTCCACACATGTCCTTGACAGTGGTGTGTCCTTGAGCGGAAGAGAAGGGGTTCGACTCAGCAGCCGCTGCTGCCGCCTCTCCATTAGGACTGCTGTGGAGATTTCGATTAAATGTGTTTCGGTGTAAGTATTTTATGCCCACTCAATTTAAGGGGGGTCGTAAACTAAGTAGAATTACGGGCACGCCCGGAGGGGAGCATAAATATTTTATGATTTAAAACTGGCCCATCCTGGCCGATGGTAAACCAACTATTGAGAGTAACTACCCGCTCCACAAGCCACGGTTGCTCGCCCGCCGCACAAAAGCAGCTTTATTGCGAAGTGTGTTGAGATCATCTATTTTACTTTCCGAAAGGTAAGCGTATTTCGTGTTCCTTAAGAGCTATCTGATTTATGTTAAAATCCACTTTCAGCTAATAAATCGTTTTAATGTTGCACAGCTTTCAAAGATTCCCGGAACTAAGGCATACACTCTCCACTTATTTTGCATATATAGCATTCAGACTATATTATATATTTACATATACTTGCTTTTTGTTGAATTCCTAAATATATCGCTTAAAGTACTATATTGAAAAGTGCCCATGTATATGGTTTAATACTCGTAATTGGATTGTTTTTAAAGACTAGGTAGATCGGAATATTTCTTGCCGAATATTTCTCAATTTTTGTCCATATTCCATTTCATTGTATTATGCAATGAAATTCATTGTGGGCTCTGTGGCACCATGTGCCAAAAGTTATTTGTCATACAAGCACCCGGCATTCCGGGCAGCCACTTCTTCTGCGCACTGTAGGTGCCGGCCGTATGCAGATGAGTCTGAAACCTGAACCTGAAATAGCGGGCGAGTTGGAGAGCTTGCAAATAAAGCAAGGGAAATATTTTTACTGGCTGCCTGTCGTCCCGGTGAAATGTAAAATTTTTAAAAGATATGCAGCGGCACGTAGCCACATAAATATGTTTGCATACGAAGCTGCTGTGGGACACTGTTCGTGCACTTACCGACGCAATATATACGTATGAACACACACACACGCACACACGCAAATACACGCATGCAAACATACGCCACACACAAGACTGTGCGAGCTTGTGCAAAAACAAAGCGAAATGCGAACGTAAACGTTGATGTAAGTAGCAGCAGCAGCAGCAACACCGGCGGCAGCGGCAGCAGCCACAAGAGAGCAACAAGAGGTGCCACAGCCAGCTTCCAAATCTCACCACAAATGAAAGTGGCAACGCACATGACGCTGCGTGGTTCATTAGTTCCACGAAATATTATAGCCAACATGGCGTATGAGCGACGTTATTCTTTTATGCAAAATGGCATCAGGTTCGGAAACGGCGCCATGCCATTCAATACTGTGCCTTTCGTATCGCCTATTGAAACCCCATCGGTAAAATCAAAAACAAAATAAAGGAAGGAGCGCCAGCAGAGAAAGAAGACATCAGACGCGGTCGCAGCTGCCTTGTGGAGCGTAAATTTGCACGGGGACTCGATTTCCAAGTGCCGAACGGAGCTGGTTGTCCCTTTGCCATAATGCTCGTAGAAGCACGCTGGAATTTAGTTAGCAGCTCGCGCAGGGAGTGCTCGACTACAACATATGCTCTGTTGTCTGTGTGAGTCCCGATGCTTATCCCATGTAAGTTTTTGCTTTCAGTTTCTCATTTTTTCGTGTCTTAGATAGAAAACTTGAACAATACAGAAGACATAAGCAGCGCAGCTTAGGTATCTTCTTCTTCTTTTTCATAGAGTGTTCACAAATCCATGATAAAAGTTTTGTGCTATTCTTCTGCTATGGTATTTTCTGTATTTCCTCTGTTTTTGCTATGCTTATTTATGTGGCACGCAACTTCTCCATTCTTAGTCCGCTGTGATTCGAAAATGTGCCTTGGAATAGTAAATAGACTGAATGTGTGCTGCTGGCAGCGCCAAAACAACAGCCTGCCATTGAATATTGAATCGGAGAGCATGAATCCAGTACTAAATATTTTTATATTGCACGGTGCGCATTTGGTATGTTATTGGATGGAAGAGCCCAGCGTTGTGATGGCTCACAGCGTGTAGACTGCCTTCCATATAGTTGGGTTCATTATTCGAGAGAGAAAGAAAAATAATATGAAGTTGGTCTATTTAAATATTGGATGCTATGCCCCATCTGCGCACCTGCGTGCTCGGTACCTGTTTGCATACCATTCAGCTGAGAATTGGAGTTTTTGTTTGAAATGTTTTGTTTCCATTTCACAAAAGACATAACAATTATCATTTGAATTATATTGGATTGTCTCTGCTGCAAAAGTTTTGGACTCACTGATACACTGGCGTTTGTTAGCCCCAAACCAGCTTTTTATTTAGTAAAACAATAACGACAACGATTGCAACGGCCCCCGTGGACAGCAAGGACGGCACAGACAGCAAGCCAAACCCCCAGAGCAGCTATCAACAATGCCCGTACGCGGCATTTCAAAAGTTATTTTCTGAACTAACTTTGCAACTTTTTGTTGCATATTTAAAACGGGTTTACGCGCTGCTCTTAGAACTGTGGCGAGTGAAATGAGATAACTTTGCAAAAATGTATATTCAATTACATAGTCCCGCCTGCTGGTCCTTCCACTCCCTAAGGATGTGCGCAGAAGTTCAAGCTCGACTCCGTTCAGAGTCAGAGAAAAGCATTTATCATCCCGCAGGAAAACTCACCTGCTCAACATAGATACGAAAACCCGTTGAAAGTTGAGCAGCCCAAATAGCAGCAGAAGGAAAAAAGGACACCATCCTTATTGGCAAACATGTGGGATTTCTCAGAGCCCTGTCCTGCGCCTGACAATTACAATTTGCACAAATGGAATCTCAGCTGTCGTCTTCATTGTCGAAGGGCCTAAATGGAAGATTAGGACGCATGCTTGACGTTAAAAAATAAATTGACACCGCAACGTCTGGTGCTAACGTGGCGCAAAACACGCATCCGCAAATCCCCAAGTGGCGTCCAAGTGCCCAGAGTCTGCACGATTTGATATCAATCAATAGCGACAATCCACATAGCTCCCTTCCTTCCTTGCCATTCCCTTTCCCACACCCATTCCCCATTTGACGTCCGCAAAAGCCCATCCACTTGCCTCAATCAATTGAGTGGTGAAGCAGAAAGTCAACCAACGCCCGTTGACTTGTGGCTTACAGTGGCCGAGATGAGATCTGAGTTATAAGTGGAATACGAGCTGTTATGTAGCTAATGACAACAGCCCAGCCACACAAAACTGAATACTTGACAATTTACACAATCATCTTAAGTAGTTTGCTTGGGGTTTTGCCAGCCCTAGTAATATGGATGTTGTATGTAACAAATATACATACAAGTATATACGTATATACATTGAGCTCCGACGTTGAGGCTCTCAATAATTACCACAATACAAGTCTCCACCCGAAGTGGATTTAACTTTCGAAACAAAATTCCCATTTGGCGCAATTGAATCGAGAAACTCTGTGAGGGGGCGTCGAAGGGCCCAAGCGAACGGATACACTGTTAAAAACGAACGGCTATGCGGCAATTGGCCATAAGCCGGATATGCATTACAGTTTCTAATGAGGCAATTGTAGAAATAAGCTGAACGTGCCGCCAACGAGGTCGATGAGGACGACGATGTCGACGAGGACTTTTCTCGCAGCAAGAGCGGAAACAGAAGGGCTTGGCTTTAGCCAGAAATCGAATGCAAAGAGTGGGGAAGGCAACGAAGGCTCACGACTGCGGTAAGATAAAAGTTTCTTATGGAATTACCTGAACGTGTTTGTATAACAGTTTCACAAGTTTTTACCTCGTCGGGCAAATGCATAAACATGCTTTTATTTCATTCCGTTTTCGGAGCGAACAGCACATTAAGGGTTCAGGAATCGAGACTATTTGCCATCAGCCGCAAATGAATTTATTTCGGATAGTGTTTGCGGCTTTAGAACTTTGACTGCTCTGACACTTTATAAAACCCGCCAAACTTAATGCCCTCCAAAACTCAATTGGCAGTTGGATTTCGAGCCGAGCAGCCATCCATTTGGCAAAGTAAGCGCAATAAATATGTATATAAGCGAAGCAATTCAATTTCGCCCGCACACATGCCACATAATCCCTGGCAGCTTAACGCTGCTTTACTAGTTCGCACATACGAACGGATAGTTAATTAACCATCAAGAAATTTACACTCGGTCACAATGGTCAATACCAAGAGAGATCATCCATACAAAATATAAATTTAAAAAATCCTGAGCTCTGTTATTAGAAGCAGGCTCTTTGCTTCGAGCCTCTATGGAGTGTCTAATAAAATTTACATGGTTAAAGATTCAATTCAATTTATATCTCTTGCCCATTGTTTTGCTAAAATTCTACTTCGCTCGATTTTTCGAAAAAAACAATACACTTAGCCGATGGAAGTGGCCGTTAACTACTGTTGCCAATGAAAACATCAACCCAAATATGTCTAACGCCGTTTGGCTACGAACAACGCCTGGCCAAAGTCCAACTGTGTGTGTGTGTGTGTCTGTTTCTACGTTCTCCGGCCCTTAATCTAGATTATGTGCCCTTCCAAAATTCAATGGGAATTGAAAATAATAAGAAGAACATTGCTGAGCATGTTCAATTCGGTGAAAATTCCATGTGTGTGTGTGTGTTTGCTCGAGTACCTGGCGATTGGAATGGCTGCTTCAGCTGAAGGAACGGGTCGATGCCACGAAGTATTTGGCTTAGCAGTGGCCATTTCGGTATTTTCCATTTATTCGTTGGTGTTTTGCTTGGATTTGGTAGTTGGTTTTGGTTTTGGCTTGAAGACATAACCGTTTGCTGCTGATACCACCGCAGCTTTCAATAAAAACCAACTTTACCTCAGCCGCACGAGTGTTGTTCCAGCGGCAACAGCGCTGTCGTCCACGTTTCTGCTTATTTCTTACATTTTATATTTTTTTGGGTCACATATTTGGGGCATTACATTTTTATGGTATCCAATTTAAAGTTGAATTTAATTAAATGCTGGGCGACACACCTTACAGAGCGGTTGCCAGCTCTATGGATTCAAATTATATTAAATACGATTTTAATGTTGCAAACTGTTTTCCCACAGAAATAAAATTTTTTTCGCAAAACGAAGTCTGCGATTGTCATATTTGAAAAGTAAAACCAAGCCTTTTGGCTGTAAATTCTCTGCCGAGACTAAAAAGTGGCAAAGAAAATCTGAATATTACAAACGAAAACAAACCGTCAGATGCAAATAAGAAATAGATTTAACAAAACAAATTCAATTTAATAAAGTAGTTCGTTAGATTCCATTATGATAGGTGAACAAGTGTTTTTGTAAAATCAATGTGTGTGTTCATCGCAAGCGATATAGAGTATGGGAGTATGCATATCGAGATATTTATGGAATTGGGGCACGCGAGGTGCCATGGGTATGTATTGAGAGTGGGCTGGCGCTTGAAAAGAGAGCAAGTTTGTTTACTCCACTGTCACGGACTTGGCCAGGTTGCGGGGGCAGTCGACATCGCAGCCGCGGAGCACGGCAATGTGGTAGGAGAGCAGCTGCATGGGTATGACGGTGAGGATGCCTTGCAGACAGTCGACAGTGCGGGGAATCTCGAGGGAGCGCGACGAAAAGGCCTTTGTCTCCTCGTCGCCTTCTTCGCAGATGATCACTGGGCAGCCCTTGCGGGAGGTGACTTGCTGCAAGGCGTTCATGCACTTGACGTAGACTGGATCGCGCAGCACGATCATCAGCACTGGCATGGAATCGTCCACAAGGGCCAGTGGACCGTGCTTCAGCTCGCCGGCCATGATGCCCTCGCTGTGCATGTAGGTCAGCTCCTTCACTTTCTGGGAGAGTAAACAAGTTGACATAACTCCCACTTAAGTATGCGAGTAAGACTTACCAATGCGCCCTCCAGGCAGGTGGCGAAGTTGTAGCCGCGGCCCATGATCAGCAGTGACTTGTGCTGATACAAATCCTTGGCCAGCTCTCGAACCTTGGAGTCGAGCTTGAGCACTTCGCGAATCTGGTCAGCCAACTTGGACAGAGCGTGCAGAATCTCCAAGCGTCGCTGCTGCAAGGACAAACGATCCTCGGACATGACCAGCGCAAACATCACCAGCGATATAAACTGCGATGTGTATGCCTTGGTGGAGGCCACACCGATCTCGGGGCCGGCATTGATGTGGACGCCGCAGTGCGACTCACGGCAGATGCTGCTGCCCACGGTGTTGGTGATGCCGACGATGAGGGCTCCGCGTTGCTTGCAGTAGCGCAAGGCCATCAAGGTGTCGGCCGTTTCGCCGGACTGCGAGATGAAGAAGCAGACGTCGTCGCGGAATATTGGCGTGTTGCGGTCAAGGAAGTCGGAGGCCAGCTCGACCATGACCGGCAGCTCTGTGAGCTCCTCCAGAAGCTGGCGCGTGGCTACGGCGCTGTGGTACGAGGTGCCACAGCCGATCAGCATTAGGCGACGGCAGCGCTTTATTTCGGGTATAAAGTCCTTTATGCCACCCAGCACGATAGAGTTTTCTTCAAAGCGGACACGTCCGCGCATTGTGTTGACCACTGAATCGGGCTGCTCAAAGATCTCCTTTTGCATGAAGTAATCGTAGTTGCCCTTCATGATCTGCTGAATTTCCATCTTCAGTGTGGTAATCTCGCGGGCATGCGGGTCATCCAGGCTCTTCTTCAAACGATGGATGCTCAGAATGCCATCCCTCACAGCAGCCACATCATCGTCCTGAAAGGAATTTGTATGAATTGCTTAGTAGACGCTTGAATTTATTCATATGACAGGCTCTCACCTCCAGGTAGATAACGCGATTTGTATGCTCGATGACAGCCGAGGCATCCGAGGCAAAGAAATACTCAACCTCCTTCTCCGCCATTGGCATGAATTCCGATGTGCTATCCGAGCGCGGCAACACTGGCAATTCACGAGTTTGTCCATGAGGACGCAACTCTGTTCGGTTAATTTGGTATTTGAATGGTGTTGACGTTGCCGATTTGCATTTGAATCAGCACCAGCATTAGCATTAGCATTAGCATTTGCAGTTGCAGTTGCCGTTGCAGTTGCCGTTGCAGTTGCAATTGCAATTGTAGTTGCAGGCGGCATTGCGATTGCGGTCGATGGCGATGGCGATGGCGATGGCGATTGCGATGTCGATAGAGTTGCATTTTGACCGAATTGACCAGCGTAAGGGGGACGGAACAGTACGAGACAGGCGGGACGTAAATGTCAGTGTTGCAAGCAATAGGATATGGGTTTATGTATTTATGCATTCATATATTGCGTGTGTGTATATACATATGTATTTCAAGTTTATGAAAGAGAAAGAAAGAAAGAGAGAGTAAAGCAGAAATTAGAAACGAAATATAAATCCTATTATCAGCAAGCTAAGCTAAATTGAACTTGGCAAAAACAAATATATTAAAATGTTATACAAATCAAAAGACCATTTATTTGTCTTCTATACAGCCATCACAAAAGCTTGTCAAAAAATAAAGAATTTTAAAATGTTCGTTGTTATCACACGAGTGAAAAACGTCGATCTGCTCTTTAGGTAATCGCCTTAAATAACTCGTATTAATTTAAAACCTTTTGTTGCATTTATTAAATTTCATATATCCAGAAATTTTTTTGCAACTGACATTTTCCAACTATAAATGTCAGTAAGATGATATTTTTCCATTTTTGCTTAAGTAAAAACACACAAAATTGAAAAGCTTCACAATTAATTGAGTGCAGATTGTGAAATTAGGAAACCGCATTTGAAATTTATAAAATAAATATTGAATTGAGCAAGTGTAAAACTTGCCAATGACAACCCATGCATTTGCATCTCAATTTTGCCAAAAATACAAAGATATCCGCTTTGCATTCTCCGTCGGAAAATGCATCGAGAATATTGGCGTTGAGCAATGTCAGTTTTATCTAAGCATATCTACATATATGTGAATAATCATGAGATACCAATCTCTCTAGATGTATAACTAACAAGAAGTAAATAGTATATATTAATAAACTGCAAACGAGAATTGTGCAGTCGATTGCAAACGTCTGCAACAATTTTTAAATATTCAATTAAAATTCTCTAAACTGCGCAATCGATTCCTTAAGAGAGAAAGAACAGATGAAGGTGGTTTATTTCAGCCAACAGAAAGCAAATAAGCATAAGTCGTATATATATATGAGCTATTATAAAATAATATTGAAACTTTAAGTAATTACCTTGAGGTTTGCCAGAGTCGGCATCTAGACAAGCACGAGAGAGAAAATAAACAAATGTTGAGTAAAATATTAAAATACAAGTTTAGCTTAGCTATATTTAAGTATCAGCACCATAACCAAGGAGTTTATAAATTTAATTGGTTTGAGAGTGAAGCGAGAAGAAGTTAGTTGAGTTTGATTGGACACACAGATACCCCGTCACCGACAGAAAGCAGAGTTTGATAGAGCACAGATTTAGATTAGTTGACTACCTTGATCGGAGCTCAGTTGCTTGTCATCTACACGTTGGAAATTAACACAGAGGATCAGCAGAGATGCGGCAAACGAGGAAGAAGGGTCGCCAAAGGATGTATTTTGGGGCGATAGTGTTGAAAAGTTTCAGAGTGCCGTCAGGGAGAGACAGTTGGTTATTTTGAAAAAGAGAACGAACACACATAACACAGACAGATACGAGTATGTACATGTAGTGAGATAAAAGACAAGAGATATCGTTGTGTGAAATACAGAAGATATATAGAAGATACCGTACAGAAAGACAATTCCATTTGTTGGGTCAGATCGCTTACCTTTGCCGTACAGAATGGGAATGTGATCCGTGGCCAACCGGGTCTTTGTCTTAATACCAACGAGCAAAGGAGAACTACGCCGTGAAGCAACGCACTCGCCCGGGAAATGCTTCGATTTAACTGCAATGGCAAATGCGCCTTCCTGTCAGCACGAAACAAGTGAAACACATCATGAGGATTCTATAACATAATGAGATTCGGTTTCCACCTGAGTGGACTCACTTACCACTTGCAGAATCGCCTGCTCCACGAGCTCCCGGAACGAGTAGTTGGGATGCTTTTTCCACAGGTGATGCACCAGCTTGGCAAAGACCTCAGTGTCCGTGTCCGACTCGAATTCGTAGCCCTTCTTCGACAGGAAGGTCTTCACGTCGTTGTAGTTGGTAATGATGCCATTGTGGACCACGACAAAGCTGTTGCCCTCATCCGAACGCTGCGGATGCGAGTTACGTTCGCAGGGCACGCCGTGGGTGGCCCAACGTGTATGTGCAATGCCAACGTGAGTCTTCACCGGCTCACTGTACTCCGCGCCGCTGAAGTCTGCACACGTCCAATGCAATTGGATTAACAATCGGGGATTGCAACGTAAATCAGACTTACGCTCTTGAATCGCATCCTCCAGCACCTTGACCTTGCCAGTGCGTTTAACCATCACAATGTCCTTGTTGTCGGGCGAGTCGATGGCAACGCCGGTTGAGTCATAGCCACGGTATTCCAGACGCTTCAGGCCTGTCACCAGCAGGTCCAGCACCTCCTGGCGGGACTTGGGTGTTAGATAATTCAGGTATGCGAAAATGCCTGTATACAAGTACAATAGACATATTTTAGTTTATGGAAATGAATATATGATTAATATGCAATAAATACATTTTGCAAGAGCTAAAGTTATTGAGTGCCAGCCAAGACCCAACCAGTTATGAGGAAATCTGCATCAGAAACCAGTTTGGGATTGGGCCTTTCAGTTAAGTGCACTGCTTCAATAAGTGGCTTAGCGGCTTTGTTACCGTCCACTGAAAGTTATTTTTGGAGTGGAGCGAGGCGAAAGGCCATCGAGTATGCATAAGTCCGTAGTTCTTTTATATCAAACGAAGGCATTTCACATTAAAGCCTTTGTACTCCAAATTGTTTTTAGTCTGAGTGGTTATCAGGATAGCACTAATTTCAGTGTATTGGGTAAGGTAGATATGGGTAATTGATATATTTTTAGCCACTGTGGAACCACTTTCTTAAGTCACGGACAATATCTTGTTGAATCAATGTTTGACAGCTTATTTGATGTTACTGAGTATTACTTACCACACATTATATCAATTAGTTAACTGCAGTCTCTGTAAATTTCCGTCTATTAGTATTATCTAAAATTAAAGAAATATGTTAACAAAAATTAGTTACTGTTTTACTAAATAATTTTTTGTAAATAATTGAATTAAGCTTCAAGCTGTCTTAATGAGAGTATCCAATAGTCGCTATGTGGCTTGCATTGTAACCGGCACCAACACAAACCTGGATTCGCATGGAAGTAAAGTAAAGAGAGTCTTAATTTTAGAGAGTGGTACTTGTTATACTCTGACTCTTAGCAATGTGTGTGTATGTGTGTATATGTATTTATTTACAAGCATACGGGTGTTCTTATCAGCACGTCAACAATTCAGAATCTTTCTTTCCGCTGCGGCTACTGGTCCACTTTATTCTGTGTAGTTCTAGTTCTAGGTCCCGTCCTCGTTCCCGCTGCTGCTACGTAAACACGATTTCTCAGTTTTAAATCAAATGGCAATTTCTTGTAGTCAAGTTTCTTGTATTGGTTTTGCCTCGCAATACCCTGTAACTAAGCGTATATTGCAAAGGAAGACATGTACGACTAGGTACTTCTGTCAGAAATGTTGAGCATTTTTATTGATACATATAAAATGATTGTTGAGCTCATTTTATTTTTATTATTCATCTGAAATTAACTTTTCGATGGTCTGCTACTTGGCATAGGGTATGGCATGGTCTAGTTGACAAGTTGATATATTCTAACTAGTATTTACAGTTTGTGGATTTCATCTAGCTAAATGCGTCGCAATATATACATATACATATTTAATTAATCGTTCATATATATTCTTAGATGTGATTGGGAGCGAGACCAGGTTTGGGTCTGTATTTGGATTGTCAGGCGTACGTATGTGATGGAGTTATGTATGTTGGTTTGAAGCGACATAGCCACTGTGTGCTCACAAGCTAGAGCATAATTTCTGTTGAATGGGCTTAACGATTTGGAATTTTTATCTTTTGGCACTGAACGTGTTTACTACGCTCTGTTCCAAGTCTCCGCCACGTTCTGGAGTGCGGGGCAAGTGCTACTCAGGTGCAACACGTACTAGAATGACGGTGTGTGAGTGAGTGTGTGTATGCGTGTCTCGCCTCCGCCTCTCTTAGGGTCTGGTAGCACTGGTGAGTGTGACAGAATTCTTGAAAGCTCTCACAAGCAGCCCTGCCACGTCTTTCACTCTTTCTCGAACGGCAATCGTCAATAGTTAACATGCCCTCTCAGCCCGCCTCAGCAGCACCTCAGTCACGCCCATTCGTTGGCTGTGATTGGCATTTTTAATTTGCTCTCCGGTGCCGGAGCCAACAGTATCGGGTGGACAGCAGAGACGTAGCCGAACGTAATACGGTAATTAAATCGATTCAGCCATTCAGAATTCATCTGCAATCATTTCGTTCTGATGTTTCGCAGTGACAACTATGTCACATGCTCCGACTCCTCGGCTCTGCCTTAGCTCTCTGCTCCGCAGGAAAAGAAAAAAAGTAAACAGAGTGGGCCCTGCTTTCCACTAATGAATCAATTCTGACTACATAGCCCCCAAAAGCGACTTATCTCACATAGATAAGAGCGACTAGCGAACGTGGACATTGCCAGAACTGTTGATGCCAGTAAATATAAATAATAAAAATAAACTAATTGCTTTGGCAATGATACATAGGGACTGCTGCAACTTTAATCGCTTGGTCAGCTCATAAAACTAATGCAACTCATTAGAGAAACCTTGCTTATCAGAAGGAATTAAAAAGCTATTATAACCGCTTGAACAGCTGAGTGTGTGCTATCTGACTAATCACAGTTAATCAGCTGGAATGATTGGAAGTCACTGGAATTGTCATTCAGTTAATTACTATTTGTATTTTTGGAAAGCGTATCTAAAGAATCGGAACTTGTCTGGCCGTTATCAACTAATTACTTGCAAAACTATTGTTAACAATTGTCCATTCACATTGATAAGGAAATACAAAGTTGGCATTGCAATTGTTTCCATATTGAGAGCATTTGTGCATCAGCTTCAGGCCGAGCAGTTGAGTAAACTCGACTGGAGCACGCTCTTGGCTGGTTTGCTGGCTCGAGTCGAAAACACTATGTTGTTTATTCAGTTTGTATGCGAAGCGAATGATATTTCGGAATGCTGCCACATATTTTAAGTTTGTTTCTTTTTCAGTTGTACGAAGTCGCCAGCATCTACGCTGAGAGCACTTGCAACTATTTTATCAGTTCAGCTTGGGTTCATTTTGTATTTATTTATTTATTATTTATTTATTTGTGCATGTTTCTCTGCCGCAGCGTGGGTGTGTGCGTGTGCGCGTCTGCGAGAGCTTGTACGTTTGCGGTCTGAAAGAGCTATCAGCGGCGCTGCAAACAGCGAACAGGTATTTTATATAAGACGAGACAACAAATTTTGACCGCAATTTCGGGTTTAAAGCGGGTTTTGTTGCCCCATAACATTTTCGTGTTGTTCAGTGACTTTTGCATTGTATTATTATTAAATAATTCAATTAGTGTTTGCTGCGCTGGCAACACCGCAACACCATACCCAGCACAGCACCCATTTCGCACCATTCACTCAATTTCCAATTTCATACCAAACATTTTAAAATGCGCAAAGAGTTCCGTCAAGCACTTTGGTCAGTTTGTTTGTGTGGGTGTGGGGTAGTTGGCATTATATATATTACAGCACTTTGCATTAGAAACTCCAGATTTGTTTTGATAAACACATAAAAACATTTCGAGCAGCTATCTACACTCTACACTCACACGGTATGCACAGGTCGTAGCTGTTGTTGTCGCTGTTGTTGTTGTTGGTTTATTTAATTGCCTGTGTGGTATTGTCTTTGAGTTTGACGTGGTAACTGGTTGGTTCGGGTCTGGTAACGCACTCGCTGCTGGCCAACTCCGCTGTGAAATTAACACTGAGCTCGCTCTGAAAAGAAGCACACACTAAATGCGCCGCTTTTATAGGCTAGCCAGAGGTATCGACGACGCCAGCGTCACGCCGGTTCCACATTGGCGCTGCGATCGTTTTCGCCAAACACTGAGAGGCCAGAGGCATAGCCTACTCATACTCACATTCACACTCAAGCCGATACTCGCACTCGCACTCGTACTCACAGTCGCACTCGTACGCCACATTCAACTACAGCAACAATTGAGAGAGCCATAGCAAATGCCATTGGAGCTCTAGAAGACAGTTACGCTTATCGCTAGCTAGCTAGCTAGCATTAAAAAGAGCCGATCCGATATTGCTTGCCTGCTGTCCGTTAACTTTTATCATACACTGTATTACTATATGCTAATAACAACATCTATATTTTATTATTTATTTATTTCTATTTTCAGGCATCCAATTTAAATCATTTAAGAAGTTGTTTGTATATGGAAAATATCTTAATAGGAAATTAGCTATTTCAGAGAGAGCAATGAGCAACATATATTAGGCATATCGAGGAACGTTGCTAAACATCCGACATTGTCTAGACCAATCAATTATAAGAAATTGGCGCCTGCGATGCAAAATCAATTTCGGCTAACACAAAAACATGTTTTCTGAATGGAATAAATTATATATGCCAAGACATAAATAATGCATGTTTATCATATGTCGAAGCATAATCATAAAATGTTGTTTCTAATAAGCTAATAATGTATTAGTGCTGCTCCCATCACAGTTGCATTTTAGCACTAAAAAAAAAAAGCACTCTGGCTCATGCTCTTTTATGCCCTGCGATAAGCGTAACTTCTTCAAGAGCGTTGGAGTATGACATTTGCTTATGCTCCCACAATTGTTGATATTTTCAGTAGGTGTGAGTGTGAGTGCGAGTATGAGTACTCTGGCGAGTGTGACTGTGAGTACACGATCGAGTGTGAGTAATGGAATTGAGCCCGTGGGCTGTGTCTCTCACTGTCACTCTCTGTGGTTGGCATATACATATATCCGCTGCTTTGTTTGTTTGCGTTTGTTGCTCTGGATATAAGCTTTGAGCAATTTTCTTTTGAAAAGTTTATAGACTTGCGTCTTTATTAACCTGTTGCTAATCAAAAATAGAACATTTAATTAATTTACTTAATTTACTCAGACCCGCAAACTCTTGAACTTTTACCACTTTCGAAGATATTCTATCGAATGCTCAAAAATCAATATCTTGTATTTACAGTAGATAGCCATGGCACCTATTGTTTAGAATAGTCTATTTGTGGATGAATAGATGTTATACCTTTAATAAACCTCTGGCAAACGCTACGACCACTCCCCTCTGACATTTCCTTAATCGCGTGCTCGCAGGGCCTTAAAATCGGCCACAAACTTGTTTATTGCGATATTTATGCCACAAAGGCTTGATTGAACTCTGGCATTTGGCTCACAATTGTGTGTCGGTTAAATTATTTGGAATATTGAGTCTGAGCCAGATTGATTTGACTTTTAGTTAACATATCAAGCTGAATGGTATTAAATGTAATTGTACTTCAATATTTATCTGCGCTGAACATGGCTTTTCACATTAAATAACAATTAATTATTTTTTTAGTTCACAAAGGAAATCAGCATATGGGAGTTGATTCAATGCATTTAAGTTATGCCCCATAAAAAAATAAAAAAAACTATTTAATTTAATTTATTTTTAAGCAACACATTTACACACTCTTTATTTCCCTATCAATTTGTTGCACTTCAATAAGTGATCCGACTAACGTGTCAGTGCTTTGTATGAAAATGCGAAAAAAATCGCTTGCCATTTGTCGCGTGTTTTATATTTTATATATATATATTTTTTTAACGATATTTAATATGCAATGTGCATAAATTCATAAATGGCATACTGCAGCTTTGGAAAAAAAAAGAGGAAAACGTAATAAAATAATATAAAAATAATGGAAAATCGAAAATGTGAATATTTAATTTCGGCTACAATGTGCCTAAATAGGAAAAAATGGTGTTGGTACATGTAGAAAATATGGATGAAAATAAATATTCAGAGCCCGAGGCTGGCTGGAGCGAAGTACGATTATTGCCAAATCCCCAAACCGGTTCAATATACAAATTATGCGTGAACAGAAATAATATCTAAGCGCAGCACCGGTTTTCATACGTCAGATCATAACCTGAACCGTAAATGATAAATATTCATGATTTCTTTTTCTAACTCTAACAACACCAGCAGCAGTTGTCGGTTGTTGTCAATTTATCTGAGTTTTGGTATCTCTTTCGTCTGCTTCAGCTATTGTATTCAGTTTTTGTTTTGCTCACAGCAACTGACCTTGACTTCCATTCGAAAGGAAAAGTGATGCTACAACTTGCAATGTGGATTAAAAACCTGTCCGGTACATGGAAGCTTTCCAGATACTTGGCTTAAAATGGTAGGCGAAATATTGAGGGAATCGAAATAAGAATTCACCAAGTTATTTCTTATTTCATATATGTATAGTAGTATGTAGTTGAAGTCTGAGTTTTATTCTTGTAATTCTTTTTTTTTTTTTTTTTTCACTATGCCCCTCTCATTTGCCTCTCTGCTTCACAGGTTTTGCTTCCTTGTAAACGACAAGCAGCATGTAGTATTGGCGAAAAACAAGTTTCGAGTGGATTGGTTAACAGTGTCTGGCCACCAGAAGTACGACTGCAAATCGCAATCAATCCGGCCTGGCTGACCTTGTGTTTAAGCGCCTTGCACTACCGGCAGACCTCTTACTTCCACGCGATCGCTAACAGTCGGGTAATGCAACTTCTGGCCCTCAACCAGTCAGAGAATAACAATAATTAGTATAGATCATTAGTATGTATTTAGCCAAAGTACTCTCGAAATTGTGCAAAAATCAGTTGGTCCGAGCCACGTCAGTTACTCTTAGAGCCAATGCGGAAAGCACACACATCAGGTACACGTTTTACTACTAGTTGGGCGTGGTCGCCGTGAATCAAAGTAGAAATTGTAGTGCTTATCAATGCAGTGATAACTATCAACGAAAGCAGACTGTTTGCCAATAATATAATGGAAGCGCTGATGCAAGACAGTATTGGATTGGGAATATTTGCAAAACAAACGAAATTTGATTAATTTCAAGTCACTTTGAATAATGAATTTCCGTGTACATTTATTCAGTTTAAATAAAACAACGATTCGTTCAAAATAATTAAATAAAACGAAGTGTTCGTCTCACATGATGCATAAGGTAAACATTCTCTACCTCTACCATTCTCTATCAACAACAACTTTCTGAGAAACCTTGAAGAAATGGCAGCACATAAATTGTCTGGGGCTGACTTTCAAAGTTTGAGCTGTAAGAGCAAATTAAAATTAAATACGACATGTGTGCAGGTGTATCCTTGACAGGATGAAGAGCTCTAGCTGCTTAAGAACTGGGAAAGCACTTGTAGAAAATAAAATTACATTAACTCAGTTGAAACAAATTGATTCAAGTACGCGCAAGCTCCTTTGACATCATGAACTGTGACAGAGAACTTTTAGCTTTTGTTGTAACACCACGACCCGGACCCCTTAACTTGTCCCCGGTCTAGTCACACTTGGCAAATAATCTTCAAGTGCTGTGAGCAATAAAAACTCTAAATCCAAATCCGAATACATATCTCGCTGTGAACACTTTAACATTTGACACCATCGTGCGACTCAAATGTGCTTTGCGCTAAGATTGAGCAAATTGCTCCTTTGGGTGCTAAAAGTTTACTCTTGTGTTCCCCCTGAAGAAGTTGAATATGCTTTGCTTTGGGGCTTCATAGAGCAAGCACGAACTTTATATGATAACCGAAATATTTATATAGACTTTCGTAACATAATACTCGAATAATATACAGTTAGATATTAATTTAAAGAAAATTTGATGAATAAATGATGTAAGACAAACTCTTTTTTCTTAGGATCTTTGTTTTTGGAACGCACGCTTCAGTGTGAAATTCGTCCAATTTATTGTGGAAATATTTATGTGAAAGGGTACGAGGTCTAATGCCAGCCGGCACTTTGTTTATCTGTAAAAGAAGTTTACAATAATATGGAACAACTGAACTACAGGCAAATTCACAGCGGCCATTAATTAAATTTATGCACAGGCAAGGACGAGGCTCCAGGCAGCAAAAACATCAGGCGGAAGAGCCAAACAACACGGCAGTTGGCGGCTGCGGTACGAGCAACGGCAACGGCAACGGCAACGGCAATGGCGATTGTGACAATGGTGGTGCCGTCGATGCTGCTCGGTGGTCGCAACAACTTGTGTCCTGCTCAGCCACAATAAGAGGCAACGAACGGAAAAGTATGAAAAAGCCGAGCAGCAAAGCAAAAGACTCGTATATATAAAGCGAGAAAATATTTCAAATAATTCGCTTGCCTGAGCATCGCTCGGTCGGTCGGCTGGTTCGGATGGTTGGTGGGTCGGTGGGTCGGTGTATAGTGTAGGCGGTTTGGTGGGTGGGTGGTTGGGTGGTTGGGTGGATAGAACTAAGACGCAACCGGGCTGCTTGTGGCGGCACCAATTATGGAAGTAAAATTTATTATTTTTTATTGTTGTTGCAAAGTAAATCGAGTGTTTGTTGTTATCGTCTGAATGTGTGTGTGTGTGTGTGAGTGTGTGATTGTTGTGTTTTCATATTTTGCCATGACTATGCGGCCATTGTGTACAATTTGCACATGTTGACGTTGGCGATGGCGATGGCGATGCTGTTGCTGTTGCTGTTGCTGTTGCTGTTGCTGCTTCTGTCGTCGGTTCTCTGTTTTATTTTTAGTGTTTTTAGTGCTTGGGTCAGTTGTTTTCGGTGTCACTTAGTTTATAAACTATTTATGCCTTCCACTGCAGTAAATTCTTATTTTGGCATTTGCGCTTTTGTATGGCCCATGTGTGGGTACAAATATAGTAAAATCGCTGAACGATAAACAAACACACACACACACACACTAACTAGGCAAACAAAATATGAAGCTAAAGCAAACGTTTTTGCAAGCCA